TCCGGAAGGGTTTCCTCGCCTCTCCGTCACATCAAGGCTCTCCTCCTCCTCCTCCTCTCCAGCCTCCGCCAGGACCCCGGTTTCGAGGTCCCAGGGGAGGCTTCCAGAGATAAGGCACGTTGCCTCATACGATACGGTGGAGTACGCTCTGGAGGCCCTCTGAGCCATGGTCCGCTGCGCACGTCGTAGCAGGACCATGTTTTCCCTGCTTAGAGGCCTCGTCGCCCATATGGGCGCTCCGTAGAGCGCCTTAGAGCGTACCACACCATCGTACAGGCGGCGGCACACACCGCCCGCCCTCTCGTAGTTGGGAAGCAGCATAGTGAGCATTCCCGCATACTTCACCAGCTTTGGTGCCAGTATCCGGAAATGCTCACCGAACCCCCATCTGCTGTCGAGGACGAGACCATGATACTTAATGGTTCCCCTGACAGCAATGGGGGTGGCGGACTTCTCCAGTTCCTGTCTGACAACCTCCTCGACCTGATCCTTGAGTCCGGTGATGGCATCGACGGTGCACCGCCCGCAACAGAATCTGAACTGGCCGCTGCTCAGGTCGAGCCCAACCGCCTCCATGTGTGCGACGAAGCGCGCAGCGAGCACTCGCTCAAACAGCTTGCACGCCTCGTTGAGCAGCATGATGGGGCGGTAGGCCGACGGCGAGTTGGCCGGGCACCCGTGCTTCCTGCGGAGTACGAGCTTGCCCGTCTTTTACCGCCGCGGTATCCACCCGGATGCCAAACACTCAGACACTCCTACAGCGGAGCGGCGGATACCGGCACGCCATCAGAGCCCGGGGTGCGGTTCTTAAGCCTTAGCTTTAGAATCGCAGCTTACAACTCGGACACGGGCCGGGCTTCTCGCCCGCTACGGCTGGTCCCTCGGGGTCCCTCGGGGAGGATTGGATTGGGTGCCGCCATTCTCGGCGGCACCCAATCCTCCCTCGCCGGCAATAGGGAGCCGACCACCTACCCGACCACGGCCCGAGGGACCTTGCTTTAGTCTCTTGAGCCACTCCTTCCATTCTTCCTCCTTGGCGGCCTTTAAACGTGGGCACCGCACGAGCGGCCCGACACACGGCGAACAGCACCTCCTCCTCGTCGAGGTTCTTTCGTTCGCCGTTTCGAGGCCGCTCGCACCTCTCGCCTACACCCAGGCCGCTCATTGTCCCTTTGGCGACCCACCTCTCCACTATGGCCGCCTCCTTGGCCAGCTCAGGGTCCAAGGTGGACACCTTCCACCGTGGACCCTCTCCTGGCAAGGGACGATCCGGCGCGACGGCCGGAGCGTCCGTGGGGGCGGAGACCATGTCAAACCGGATACAACTGTGATTCGACAGAGTCTCCACCCCCTCCTCCTCCTCCACCATCATGCGGAGGGCCAGGGCGGGGCTCGTGAACGACAGATTCACGATAGACCCGCCCTGACTCCGCACGCACGTCGGCCCGTCCCCCTGTTAAGGAGGACGAGCCCCGTAAACACCGCCCAATCCATCATAGTCTCCCCCTGAGGTCGGTCACCGGAGAACCCCACGAACTCAATTTGGTGTTGAAGTCTCCGGCGACCACCACAGGGGTGTATTTGGTAAGTTTAGATTTGAATTAAATACTTGCGTTGAGTTATTTTTATTCAGTCAATCATTGTTGTTAATGTTGGTGCTGGTCATAAAATTTAAATAAATTTAATTTTTCTAGCACACAACAAAAGAAAACGAAGTATCAATAGTGAACGCGTCATTCCACGTGACGCACTGGTCGGTGCAGCCGTACGGTACTGGAATATCCCGTATGAAGTACGTCGGATATGTATTTGGGGGAGATGTACTGCGGTTCTTCCACGGGGGAGATGAATGCCTTACCATACCTAGTACCTGGACTAAAGAGGGAGGACAGAAGTAAGTTAAATACTCTTGTATTTAACTTCATAATAATTTTCTATATTTATAGAAAACTAGCTTACGCACGCGACTTCGTCCGCGCGGTAAAAAAAAATAAAGTTAGCCTATGTGTTCTTACAGACTATGTTTACATGTGTGCCAAATTTCATCAAGATCCGTTGAACCGTTCCGGAAATACCTTCAAACAAATGTCAATCTATCTATCCATCCATACATCCAAACGCATTTATGTTAATAAGAAGTTTGATAATATTAGTAAGATTGAGCCTATTTTTAAATAAAATTCAGACGAAATTTTTATTTAACTCTTGAACTCATAAAAAATTTCCGTTTGAGATCTCTCACTGTTGTAACTGTCGCTATAACTATCCTAAATATTTATCTTTCCTTCTTCCTCTTTCCAGTATCGTGGTGTACGAAGGTGGTTCAGTAATGTCTCAAGCGCGTTCACTCTGGCGACTAGAACTGGCGCGGACTAAATGGGCGGGCGGCTTCATCAACTGGTACCATCCTATGCGTATCAGGCACATCACAACGGGCAGATATCTCGGTGTTAACGATCAGAATGAATTATATTTGGTTAGCAGGTGAGTTAAATATATTTACATAGTCCTATAGAAAGCTATTTCTAAAATAGCTATCTCTCTTGACTTGTCAGTGTGGTAATTAAAAAAAATTGAACAACCAATTTGCTGTTCCAAGCTGTAATCTATATTCAAAATATGCAGTTAGCAGCCACCTACATGGTAAAAATATCTTTCTAGCCATCCAATCTTTCCCATTTATAATATTAGTAAGAGACGACATAATTCTATACAGACAACAATAACTTTTTGAACATCATCATCATCAGCTGACTGTATATCCCCACTGTGGGGCTCGGAGCCTACCCTAAGTTAAGGGTGACTAGGTCATAGTCAACCACGCTGGCCAAGTGCGGGTTGGTTGGTAGGTGCAGGTTGCATCACGATGTTTTCCTTCACCGTAAGAACGTCGGGTAAATGTACATATGTAAATCGAAAATCGAAAAACACATTGGTACATGGCGGGATTCGAACTCAGGACCGTGTAGATTACAAGTCAAGTGCTGAAACCACAGAGCCCCCACGCTCTCACTTTTTGATAATTAAATATATAATTAAAAAATATAATTTACCTTTAGTTTCCACAGTTCAAATACCGATGACATATTATCATTACTCCCATTCAAAAGAGATTATTATATTGTTATTTCAGAGAGGAAGCTACAACAGCGTCTTGCGCGTTCTGTCTCCGTCAAGAGAAAGATGACCAAAAAGTGGTGCTTGAAGACAAAGATCTGGAAGTCATCGGTGCTCCTATCATTAAGTACGGTGACTCTACTGTTATTGTACAACATTCGGAAACTGGCTTGTGGTTGTCTTACAAGGTAATTAAAAAACAATTCCTAATTTACAGCCTACTGTTTGCAGTTACGTCACTCGTTAAAATCTATTTAGCCGTTTAAGCTACAGGAGATAACAATGGATTTGACATACATACAAACATATACAAAAAAACATTTTTGCGAACCTGCGATAAACATTACATATAGTCGGCTAAAAAGTTTGTTTTAAAATACTTATCAAACATCATCATCAGCAGCTCACTATACATCCCCACTGAGGGACTCGGAGCCGACTCTAAGTCAGGGGTATCAAACGTAGTGAAATGCAAATAAAATTTAGTAGATTAGAACACAACTTCTTCGACACTTTAAATTCAAATAACATAAGACTAAGCCTAGATTAACAATCTGGACACGCAGTGGTGCCCCATTCCATCATATTTTAAGCTTTAGAACTGCTTGAGGCTCTTTTGTTTTGTAGAGCTCCAATTTTAGTAATAGAAAATATAAATATTTATTTCGATTCTTCCTCATGTTTCCAGTCGTATGAGACGAAAAAGAAAGGTCTAGGTAAAGTGGAAGAGAAGCAGGCAATACTACATGAAGAAGGTAAAATGGACGACGGTCTAGATTTCTCCAGGTCACAAGAAGAGGAGTCCAGAACAGCACGAGTTATTAGAAAATGCTCCTCCTTGTTTACGAAGTTCATCAAGTAAGTTATATTCATATCATTTGTTTGCTTACAAATCCTTAATCCTGGGACTAGGAATTTACTTATAATTATCAAATTTTTTGAACATCTACGTATATTTTACAGCTCGACATGTGATTTAAAAATAAGGCAGGCAACAGTTTTTTGAATTTAAGAAAACACAAATGAATTGTTGCCCGCGATTCCGTCCACGCGAGATTTTAAAAAAATACTTAATTAGTAGCCTATGCTTTTCCTCTACTACTATGTTCTACATCTATGCTAAATTTCAACGAGATCCGTTGAGCGGTTCTAGAAATAGACCTTCTAACAAAAATCTATTCAAACTTTCGCATTTAAAATATTATTATTATACGATTAAAAAACTTTTTACAGTGGCCTTGAAACTCTACAAGAAAATCGACGTCATTCAATGTTCTTCGCTTCAGTCAATCTTGGTGAAATGGTGATGTGTTTAGAAGATCTTATTAATTACTTCGCACAACCTGACGAAGATATGGGTATGAAGAATTATTTAAAATATTAAGATTTATAATACAACTAAAAACAATATATCCATTCCTTTAAAAGAAACTTTAATTTTTAAGCTATCAGAATGGATTCTAAACACGGTATTTTAGTAGTTATTAATAGTCTATTCATTGATTTATGCTTGTTTTGGTGAAATATAACATAACCTACACCTAGATCTGATGCATGATTATTCATAGCATTGCAAAATGTATCATGACTTCAAAAAAAGATAACTAAGTTGTAACAAAACAATTCCATAAAAAATTTCATTCGTCTTGTTGCTGGTTAGGACTATAATGTCAAAAGGAAGTAAAATTGATACATGAACTACCAATAGTTAGATTATTAGTCGAATGCTGAAAAGTTAGGACTGCGCTTGTTAGTCCAAAAGGCATTCACTATATGCCTCCCATTACCATACGCTTAAAATTGACAAATACTACTTTAAATATATACTATCGATTGCAAAAAGATAGTCATCAAAACGATATTATCGTTTGCTTTGCATCTTCATAGCTGGTAATGTAATACACGAATAAAAAAACGATTTAGTTAAGCTTTTATAGCAAACAAAGCAAAGTATCATGGCATGGTATAGCCTTTAGAACAAATAAGGTTGAAAAAATAAAACGCCATAGAAACAGATATTCACCAATGGATTTAGTACACAAATGCTTTAATGCCATACTTCGTCTGTAAGAGAGCCTTTTAGTGTAGATATTTCATACTAAATCGCCACTAAGGGTGACTCAAGGACTTTATGTGCGGCAGTTAAATTAATTTAGGTTAGATCTGTATTATAATGTATTTCTTACAGAACACGAAGAGAAACAAAACAAGTTGCGCGCTCTACGTAACCGTCAAGATTTGTTCCAAGAGGAAGGCATATTGAATCTCATTCTAGAAGCTATAGACAAGATCAATGTTATTACATCGCAAGGATTCTTGGCTGGTTTCCTGGCTGGGGATGAATCTGGACAGAGCTGGGATATGATATCTGGATATTTGTATCAGCTATTAGGTAAGGATAATTCAGATAGTGCTACCTACAGTGTATGTTTGGGGGACATGGCAGGATGAAGGTAAGATTGTATGAGGTTACATAAATTTCCATATTCTGTTGTAAGATTCATTTATTTTCAGTCATGATAGTGTTTAAAAGATACTTGTCCTGAAAGAAATTCTTTGCATAATGTTTCATATTGTAAATTGAAATTTTCCCAGCTGCAATAATCAAAGGCAATCACACAAACTGCGCGCAGTTCGCCAACTCAAATCGTCTCAACTGGCTGTTCTCCCGTCTCGGGTCGCAAGCCTCGGGTGAAGGCACAGGCATGTTGGACGTGTTGCATTGCGTGCTTATAGACTCTCCTGAAGCCCTGAATATGATGCGGGTAAGCAATAGATAGGGTAAACACATGTAGTGTCGGCCGACCTACGTCATAGGAATGCAAATTATAATTTTATAGCAATGATTTTTTTAATCGAAATGATAGACTTGCATATAAACGCTTACTTCTTAGGATTGTCAACATTTAAATAGACAGATTTTCCATTTTGAAGCAGAGTATGACCATTCTATTGTATGATCCCACCATTACGATCTCAATTAAACTAAAATCCAACCTTGAGGAGATTTTATTCGTTTTGCATTCTCTCCTTGAAGAGCCATCGATCGATTTTTTTTATTCCAGGATGAGCACATAAAAGTGATAATATCATTATTGGAGAAGCACGGACGTGATCCCAAAGTACTGGACGTATTGTGCTCACTCTGCGTGGGTAATGGAGTCGCGGTGCGTTCCTCACAGAACAACATCTGCGACTATCTGCTGCCTGGCAAGAACCTATTGCTGCAGACGCAACTCGTCGACCACGTCTCCAGGTATAGACGAAGAATTAAATTCACTACCCATTTAGGATAATGTAGAATAAACTGGCACCGTAAGAGCTAATTTAGCACGTTAAATAGAATAATTAGATTGCAATACTGGTATACAAAATTTTACTGGTTTCCATGAATCCCTCACGTATACTCCAGCCGGGAGTTCTATAGACCCTGTGGTCTACATGGACCACGTCAAGAGTTTTTGGCTCTTTGTCTTGATATCATTATCAATATTTCTCTGTCAGCGTACGACCAAACATCTTCGTGGGACGCGTGGAGGGGTCTGCGGTGTACCAGAAATGGTACTTCGAGGTGACCATGGACCACATAGAGAAGACAACGCACATGATGCCACATCTCCGTATCGGGTGGGCCAACACTTCTGGGTACGTGCCGTACCCGGGCGGCGGGGAGAAGTGGGGCGGTAACGGAGTGGGCGACGACCTGTACTCGTTCGGCTTTGACGGTGCCCACCTGTGGGCGGGCGGCCGGAAGACGCCCGTCAACAGGACACATGCTGAAGAACCCTTTATTAGGAAAGGTACGGTCGGAACAATTTTATCTTTATAAGGATTTAAACAGACTTATTAAAACATTTTTGAATCGCCAATGACATTTCTATTAACTCGTTCCAGGTGACGTGATCGGATGCGCTTTGGATTTAACAGTGCCTATAATAAACTTTATGTTCAACGGCATAAGGGTCACAGGATCCTTCACTAACTTCAACTTGGAGGGCATGTTCTTTCCTGTCATCAGCTGTTCTAGTAAATTAAGGTAAATATTTCCTAAGTATACTTTTGAACAGTTTAATCCAAACCAAAACAAAACATAAACTTTGTAAAAAATAATTTTTGTTGTACAAGAGTGCGGACAGTCATCTGAATTCGTTAAAACAGCGAAGTGAATGGTGTCTATCTGTAATGATATTATAGAAGATTGAATGAATCGTCTATCTTTAATGGTCAGAAGAAGGCAAGTAGAGGCAGGGAATTTCGCGTTGTTGTACTTTGAAAGTTACTATAAAATTGTTATTTCGTGGTTCTTTGCAACGTCCAAAATACTATCGTTTTTTAAGGTTACCACTAGTTTCCCCGGTTGTACAAAAAGAGGGCTCTTTCTAATACACTCCGCCGACAAATCCACTTCAACTTTTCTTTCCTTTATTAGGACGAGAAAAAGGGGACTAAAATTGGCCATTGATATTTTTTTTACAAAATTTTGTAAATTATCTTCAGTTGTCGCTTCCTACTCGGAGGTGAGCATGGTCGTTTGCGCTATGCTGCTCCTGAGGGCTACTCTCCCTTAGTGGAGTCTCTGTTACCACAACAAATACTTAACCTGGAGCCGTGCTTCTACTTCGGGAACTTAGCCAAGCGGGCACTGGCCGGACCCCCGTTAGTGCAAGATGACACTGCGTTTGTGCCAACTCCTGTTGATACTATGCAGGTAAGAAACCTTTGTTAGTAATTATTGTAATTCCTCACTGTTTTTCTAATATTAAAATTTATCTCATGATATTTTTATCATAAGATGGCAAACGAGTGAGCGACCACCTGAAACCGCTGTAACAGCGAAGCGATCGTTGCCCGACAGAAGAAGGGATGCACAGAAAGAGAATATTTTCCTTTCTCATGCATCCTCTCCACCGGAAAATCCATTTTCACTTCCCGTAATTTCCTTAAAGAAGAAAGGGTGGAAAGGAAAAGAGGGCTAAAATTAGGCCCCCGAGACATACAATCATCACACTGTAGGGGGAATTGTTTCCACTTGAGTCCTGTCTTCTGTGTGGTCGTGGTATTGCACCGGGCGAGCCGGGACAATTCGTGCGAAGATGTTTACGTGCTAGACCACTGTTGAATCTTAGTGTCCATAAAAGGAATCTGACTGTTGCAAGAATTTATTTTAAATATTGTATTTACAGATAACACTACCATCCTACATCGAGCAGATACGAGACAAACTCGCTGAGAATATTCACGAAATGTGGGCAATGAATAAAGTGAGTTTTCTCACTAAATTTATATAATTTAAACTAATTTTTTTTAGTATTGTTTATTTTGTGGTTATTGGTATGATCATTCTGAGTATCCATAATGTGTGTGAACCTTCTGTTGCGAATCTTCCAAATGCATTAGAACCTGAATAAGCGAGAAACCTCTTTAATCAAGAGACATTGTCTAGTCGCGATGGACCTCTATAAGCGAGAAGCTCTGGTTAGAGAGAAACCTCTATAAGAGAAAAAAATATCTCGGTCCTTTGGACTCTTCCATATCCAGGTTCGACTTTTATTTTTTCATTTATCTCAGCACAGAGTACTAATAATTGGATTTCATACTTGGTTGTGCTCAATTCACCTACAAATAATTCTTCTTTGCCGTCTTTAAAATATTTTGCTCATTGGGTCAAACTGTCTTATATTTCAAGACACAAGCCGCACCCAACTAACATTGGGTCTGTTACTTAGAGATCTTTTGTATTAAGAAATAGGGTTGTCAACATTTGTGTTTTATTGTAAGATCGAGGCTGGCTGGGTGTACGGAGATCAGCGCGACGACCTGCACAAAGTACACCCCTGCCTCGTTCCTTTCGAGCGTCTGCCGCCCGCTGAGAAGAGATACGACATACAACTCGCCGTGCAGACACTTAAGTAAACAATCATTACATTTCAGAGCCTACCCTAAGGTACAACTAGGCCATAGTTAACCAAGCTGGTCCAGTGAGGGCTTACTTCACACATCTCTTTGAATTTCTTTGCAGATATTTGCAGGTTGCATCACGTGTGTTTTTCTTCGTCGTAAGAACATCGTACATATGTAAATTGAAAATCACATTGGTATTTGACGGGATTCGAAACCAGGACCGGCGAAGTATAAGATCAGAGTCAGACATTACGATCCTTCATTAAGCGTACTTATTTTATCATTCTACTTGGCTTTGCTGAAACTTTCCAAAAGAATAGATCCATTCGTCGCCATATATAGGTTTGCAAATCTGTTATACCAAAAATGTGTCAGTAATATTAAAACGATATTTGTCAGGACTATCTTAGCGCTGGGTTATTACATCAGCTTGGACAAACCACCGGCTCGCATTCGCAACGTGCGCCTTCCCAATGAACCTTTTATGCAGGTACACATTTATGGATTTTTTACTAACAAAATATGTTATGCTCTCTTGTATATATCGGATATATATTTTAGTGTACCGTTTGTAAAATCACACAATGAAATCTATACTTAGGAACTCATTTAGTTATTTAAAGTCTCTGAGAGTGTTAGAATGTTTTTTTAATGGTTTACGACATTTTAGCACCAACAACACCAACTTTGGTCTCGACTTTTGCAGTTGCTTTTTAGTGTCCAAATTCGATTTTTTGGGCTTAGGTTGTCATACTAGTAAATATAAAATGTGATTGCAGTCAAACGGTTACAAACCAGCACCATTAGACCTGAGTGCTGTCACCCTGACACCGAAGATGGATGAGCTGGTCGACCAGTTGGCTGAGAACACTCACAATCTGTGGGCACGTGAGCGTATACAGCAGGGATGGACTTATGGACTCAACGAGGTAATTACTGTAGTATGTTAACTAATATGTCTGCTTTGATGGATGAAACTTCATCATTCATTCCCTTAAGAGTCAGCACATTATGTGCTAGTGTTCCATACATCTCTATCAGCCATCATATCTAACTTACTCTCTTATGTATATCTTTCACACAATCCCTCCATACTTTTAAAGTCTTCCTCTACCTTTGTAGCCATCCTCTTACTAGTCTTATTACTTTCTCGTTAAGGTAAACTTAAGATAATTTATGGTGCAAAAGTGAGTGGCATTGTCGGTTAGGACCATCCCCGAGTTATACCGTCCAGATTGATGAAATACGGCTGGTATAAAGAGCACCAGAAACTGAGATGCATGTATGCGTAGATGTATGAATGTAGGCGAGAGATGTGTGTCAGGACCGCGCCAAATGGAGGTCCGTGGTCTCTGTCTATCTCTCTGGGTTATTAGCGTGAATTATATATTTTTGTACTAAGTACAATGAAAAAATGATTGTTTGTTTTCCACAATGTGCTTAGCAAGAACAATCCTGTTTTTACTTTAATATACCTTTTAATTTTATTTCATGTATGTATTTTATTTTATCTTTTACTTGTTATTACTTTCTATTCTTATATTTTCTTTTTCTTTCTAGATGTCTTATGTATTTAGCTTAAAGAAGACTTCCTATTTTATTAGATTCGTCAGCTGTGACTCTCACACTTAGTATGTTGTTATGTTGCTAGGTGTGAGGGTCACAGCATGTCGAGTCTGAATCTACTACATCTGAGAAGAAACTACGTATATAATATTTTGTTTACAGTAAAAACTCGTTTAATCGAACTTCTTCGGCATCCAGTTAGTCGAAAATTCGGATAATTGTATGAAGATAATGTTGTGTGCATATGTAATACATAATTTTAAGTGTTTTATTAAGAACATACGATTTACTAACTATATAATTAAGGAGACGCGTGCGGGGTTATTCCAGTAGTCTTGGATAACTGAGGTCCGCATAATCGAGTTTCTACTTTATTTATTATGTTTATTTGCTGTATTTTCTATATTGTATTATAATATCAATATTTATACGTTTATCTATTTATTGTTAAAGTATATATTATATAATAGTATATTTTAGATATTAAGTCAACTATATTACTAATATATGTGTATTTGAAATTAAGGAATAATAGGAAGGAAAAACTGAGCAGTCATTTTATTTCAATATTTTAAAGATTTTAATGACCTTCAGTCCTAATCAGGGATATAAAAGAGATCTAAATCAAATTGATTCTTACTTAATAATACTTATTATATTTAACAGGATCCAGATATGCATCGTTCGCCTCATCTGGTGCCATATCTTAAAGTGGACGATGCCATCAAGAAGGCGAACAGAGACACAGCATCTGAAACAGTACGCACATTACTCGTGTATGGATATAATTTAGATCCACCAACAGGAGAACAGCATGAAGGTAAAAAGAAAACCTAGATTAAGTTAGCAAAATAGCAAGCAGACACATGAATTCGCCAGAACAGCGAAGTGATACTTACCTGTAGACATCTACGTATGCAGATGTCTACTTACTATCTTTAATCTATGCCAAAATTCAACAAGATCCGTTTAGCCGTTCCAGAGATACCTTCAAACAAACATCCATCCATCTATTTAAACATTTGCATATATATTATTAATAAGATAGTAAGCTTATCATTTATGTACATATTTGCAGCACTTCTCGCGGAGGCATCAAAACAGAAACAGGCAGATTTTCGAACTTACAGAGCTGAGAAGAACTACGCCGTTAGTTCAGGCAAATGGTACTTCGAATTCGAAATACTAACAGCTGGTCCTATGAGGGTTAGTACATTTTATCATTTTTTTAAGGCTAAGAAAATTATATTAAAAAGTTATGATGACTAGACCATATACAGTCAGCGTCATATAGATCGTCACAGACAAGATATGCAAATATATAGGTACACCAAAAGTATTCAATTATATCGGTACAACAAAAGTCCTCAAAATAATAGATACATTCACCCTGCTCAAATACATCGGTACATACACAGCGTCAAATATATGAGTACATGCAAGATGCTCATAAATATCGTAGCAGCCACAGCATCATAAGTAACGAAGCAGTCAAGGTGCGCAAAAATATCGGTACATTTGACAAAATTGAACTCTATCTCTATATACTTGTGATACAATTTGGAATAAACTACTTCTGTTACATTCATTTGACACTTTGTATTAACATTATAGGTTGTCCGGAAAGTTCGTTCTGATTTTCGATATAAAGCTTACAATAGACTGTAGCTGAAGTGAATTCATTTTCTGATTTCCACCATAATGAAACGTCACAAAAATTTCTATATTGTGAATAATTTCATTTCATTGGTTGAGATAAAAACTAATTTTTAAAATTTTATCCAATAATAAAAGACGTTTTAGGTATAGAGTCGTACCAATATAATTTAAAAACATTTCCAAAAATTTAAGAGAACAGGGTTTCAATTTTCCTTATAAAGCGGCACGAACTTACTGGGCAACCCAATATTTTTCTTCTCCTGTCATATCGCTTAAATATAAAAGTTTGTCACGCCGAATATGACAGATACGTATTAACTAATATCAAATTTTGCCTTGTCACAATATATATAATACTAGATTGGCGCAGTATTCTAGTATGTTTGCCGTAATATGTAAGTTTACCGGTTCGAATCTCAGGCTACTTTTTTTTCATTTTATCAATCACGTGGTTATTTTTTCATAACCAGTAAAAATTTGGTAATGTAAAATTTTGCTCGACAATTTTTTTTTATAATTTTCTCTGTCGGGTAGAAAGAAATTTAAATAAAGTTAACAACAATTAGGTCAGACCATCGCGGGTGAAGTGAGTGGGCGGAGCGTGGATTGTCTTTGCGGGTTTTAAGAATGGTACGCGCGGAAACTATACGTACAAGTGTTATCTACATATGTGTGCGCGCCCACGCACACTGGAATGTTTATTGCAATCGACCAAAAATTTGATGTAGTTTGGATATTGACATTCAGTTTTTTTTCTTTGTTTCTTAAATATAATCAGTATCAGTAAAAGGTAAAAGTAAAAGTGTTATTTTTACCGGTACAAGTTTAACAAACATGAGTAATAAACAAATTACATGCCAATAGCATCGCTTTATCTCCTTCATTTTTGTTTGAAATAGAAAAGTACTTTAACGGTCAAACTCATTAGTCCAAGGCAATATCAAAAAGTACCTAATAACTACGGCGATAGAATTTAATTACATGTGCTTCGATATTAAAATTAAAAAGTTTAAATATCAAAAAAAAAATAGTGGCTTGGGATTTGAACCGCCGACTTTACGTACCAACGGCGGCGAACGGTAAGGCCACGAGACCAAACTAGCATATATGATGACAAACTTAAATTTGATGTTGGTTTTATCTACCTAATATCTGTCATCCGCGTCGAACACTTTTAGTAAATTTTGAAAAATGGTTTGTTGCAAAGTGTCAAATGAATGTAACAGAAGTAGTTTATTCCAAATTGTATCACAAGTATATAGAGATAGAGTTCAATTTTGTCAAATGTACCGATATTTTTGCGCACCTTGACTGCTTCGTTACTTATGACGCTGTGGCTGCTACGATATTTATGAGCATCTTGCATGTACTCATATATTTGACGCTGTGTATGTACCGATGTATTTGAGCAGGGTGAATGTATCTATTATTTTGAGGACTTTTGTTGTACCGATATAATTGAATACTTTTGGTGTACCTATATATTTGCATATCTTGTCTGTGACGATCTATATGACGCTGACTGTACATCTTCGAACATATCTTTAAACTAGAACTTTAATGTACTATAGCCAGTTTGTAAAATCATCTTAGGACACATTTAGGCAATTTATTCGTCTGTATTTATGTTATCCAATCTATACCTTACAGGTGGGCTGGGCTCACGCTGACATGGCGCCTGGTATGATGCTCGGACAAGATGAAAACTCCTGGGCCTTTGATGGATACAATGTGAGTTTATTCAACACAAATTTTATTATAACCTTTTAAAAGTATATTTTTTTCACCAAATTCATAATTTACTTCGGATATTTGGTAGTTTAAGTATTTTTTATTTTAAATACTACTCGTGTACAAGCAGCAGCATAAGACTTATTTCTCCAAAACTTTGAACTATTACAATATACTTTAGTCTCGTTGAAAGTCTGTTATGTTGTCATCAGATCCCTAGATCATTATTGTAAAGGAGTAATTTATTGCAAAATGTAAATGGTAAAATTATAATTATGATGGCAGTCTCTAAAAGTGCACGGAGCCTCGAGTGACACTTTCGGTCAGCAGTTGAAAATCGGCGACATTGTCGGCTGCTTCCTAGATGTTTACGATCAAACTATTAGTGAGTTACCACCGCGAGGGGTATTCTGGTGCTTCTATATAACACTAGAATCATACCAATATATGTTTTGAATGTATTCGTTGTTTATCTGTGGTAACAAAAAATATTTGGTCCCTTCTTTTCCTTAATCATATGTATGTCTCGTTCTTTTTCCGGGTTATGTTATTTTTATTTAAATGGAAAAATACACTTGATTGAAAATATTGTAAATAATTTTAATGGATTTAATGGAAAATAATTTTCCATTAAAATATTAATTGTGTGTATTTCCATTTAATTATTAATAATCCATAATTCCATTTACAGTTTAGTTGTCGTATTCAATCTCTGTTGTTATTATTTAGTGTAAATAAATTATATTTTAATTAATTTAAAGGAAGAGAAAGTGTTCTGCAGTAGCACAGAGTCGTTCGGCAAGCAATGGGCGGTTGGTGACGTAGTGGGAGTATTCCTTGATCTGATTGACAAGACAATAAGTAAATACATCAATGATCTGGATTATAGCGAGCTTTATTGTCGTTATTTGGCAGAAATATCATTAATTTATTAAACTTTGGTTTATCCATTAATTTTATTAGTTAAGTCTTTTATAAATATACTTTTAAACAGTATCCTTATCAAGGAATTTATCAATAATCTAATGAAAATAATTTTATATTCCATTTTTAAATTGTAAAATAAGAAATATTAATTTTATAATGGAAATTATAATCTTTTGATTTTTCATGATTATAATGACATTACTTTAATGTGATTAAAATCAGCTAAGATCTTGTAACCTATTTATAAAAAACCTAAGTATACATAGTAAATACATCAAAAAATATATAATATAAAAAAATATATTTCCACTTTTTAATCATATTTTAGTATGATGTTCCTGCCATTAAAGACTTCACGCGTAGCTTCAAAATTTTTTTGCTTTTTTATTACGCCAAAGAATCACTTTTAGAATAAGCTTTGTACCTAATACGATCACCACATCGCTTGGTTTTAGATTCACACTAGATAAAGTTTTTTTCAATACATTAATTAATTTAAGTATAATTAAGTGTTAATAGAACATAAAAGTTTTGAGCGTGGGTTTGTTTTCATATATTGTCCATCAGGGAATTGATATAGATTAAAATAAAATGATTTCTGCAGTAACTAATAATATCTGAAAAATATTCAATGAATACGCGACTAATATCTGCACATTTTGTTTTATCTTATATATGTGGTAATCATTAAAAATATACGTGTATTCGATTTAAAACAATTACTACTAATTGTTAGGCTAATTTCTTGATACAACTCTATACTATTCAGGTTATATTTTTTGTCTGTCTGTCTGTATGCTTGTCAGCAAAACAGCGTTAATTCCTAGTGATCTCCAAAAGAGCTGGACTGATTTATACGGGACTTTTACTAGAACGTAGTTTATGTGCAGAAGTAACGCTTTTTTTAATTCTGCGCTAGCAAAGTCGCTTGCAAACGCTAGTTCTGAAATAATTGTATACCCACTTTTATAATACATGCCTAGTTTACATTATGCCAGTAGAGTAAGACAGTAGCTCTGGCATGGAGTGTTTTGTCTTAGTACACCAACTATGGTAGTGCTGACTTTGAATGCCAATACAGTTGGACAGTAGTCCTACTGTATTGGCTTAATATAAACCAGGCATAATCTTTATGTTCTTTGACATCACCCTGAACTGTGGATTGCTTAAATGTTTAATAACCACATTGATAAACTTATATTAAAACGGCTAAACATTCACGTATATTCGTCCGGAGGCGGCACCGACTAGTTTCGAGTCCACCCTTCATCAGGGTGAGTGGGACTGGAGTTATTTGTTTAGCCCGTTTTTATATAAGTTTATTACAATGTCTCACGAAAGTTTGAATAATTTAACAGCATTGATGTTTAATGTTTTAATTCAATGTTTTTGTTTTATGTTGTAACTAATTTGTTCTTGTGGATTCTTTGTTTTTTTTTATAATTTGTATAATTGTAGATTGCAAAATATTAATACTTAACGTAGTGTATATTTTCTCAAAGGGAACTTTAGGGATAGTTTTGTTACAAATGTCAGAGTACAGAAGTAAAACATTCTAATAATTATTAGAACAAATTAAACACTATTTTTTTTATTCAAATACAGAGTAATAACATTTAATATTTGTTAGGTTTCTCTCTCAACGGAGAGTTATTAATGGACGCATTGGGAGGAGAGACGACATTCGCGGATGTGCAAGGTGACAACTTCGTACCCGCCTGCACACTGGGTGTCGGACAGAAAGCCAGGTAGAGTCACACTTATGTATTTTTTAAGACCGCCAATAGCCTAACTGATCACGAGGTCGTAGATTCAAATTCGACTATTTGACCTTACCCTGGCGTAATCGTGGAGCTTAGTTAGTACCTCTATTATTTTGGTGATGTACATTTGTAATAAATTGGTACGTTTTCAGACTGACATACGGCCAAGATGTAAATACATTAAAATATTTTACAACGTGCGGTTTGCAAGAGGGATACGAACCGTTTTGTGTGTAAGTAATCAATTTTATATCAAAAAAAATCAGCTTGATACTTTCACGCGTTCCTGAGAAATAGGGTCTTGATAAACAGATGGACGGACAACAGTGTAATCCTATAAGGGTTCCAGGTTTTTCTTTTCGAGATAAGGAACCTATAAAATAATAACAATAATAGCGTATTGTAGCGCTGCGCCGAAATCACGCCACCTTTCGAACTGAGCCCGCCCCGCCGGCGCGGCGTCCCTACAGTCCCGCCCGGCTACGCGCCCGATGTAATTTCCCCACTCCCGCAGTTAGCTGCGAGCCTTGACTTTGTAAATACGCGTATGCGCACGACTGTCGGGACGCCGCCGCTATCCCATCAACGATGTTTGTATTTCGTACTACACTTTAATATTATTCAAGTAATTAAAAATTTAAACTTCCAAGACTTTTACTATAGTATTGTATATTTTTCCACGTTCACAATAATAAGATTTGTACAGTTTTGTCAGTGGATACTCACTGTAAATATGTTTTAAATTTTGCAGTAATATGAAACGTGATGTAACACACTGGTATACTAAAGATCAGCCCATTTTCGAGAACACAGACGAAATGTCTGACACTAAGATTGATGTGACGAGGATACCAGCTGGTTCAGGTAAATTTAATTATTACTATTAAATAAAGCGAATTAAAAAAAAGTAGTAGTCTAGTATAATTCCGGGGATAGTGTAGCTTCCCAATAGTAAAAGATTTTTTCAAATCGATTTAATAGTCTCTTTTAATATTATTTTATAAAATGTTTAAAAAATAAATTTTCATTGTATGCACTTGTTATTTCAGACACGCCTCCATGTTTGAAAATATCTCACAACACTTTCGAGACTATGGAAAAAGCTAATTGGGAATTTCTACGACTGTCGCTTCCTGTTATATGCCAAATGGAGTTTATTGAGTAAGTTTTTAAACGATTTAAAAAAGTTCTATTGAAAATCTAAAATAATCAAACAATTTGGTATGAGTAACCTATTACATGATTTTTATTTGCCGTTTTCTAGTCGAAATTAAACCAAAAATTATAAACAAAGATTTTATATTAATGATTAAAAATACCGTTTTGCACTTCTACTCCACATTATAAAATATTTAGCGGTCGCCCGCGACTCAGGCCGCGCGAAATTTAAAAAAAATCTTAATTAGTGGCCTACGTTCTTCACGGGTATGTTCTACATTAAAGCCACATTTCATCGAGATCCATGTCGTTCTGGTGATATCTTCTAACAAACATCCATCCATCTAAACATTCGCATTTATAATATTGTGTCTTCACGTTGATCTGTTGCCAAGTGCCATAAAAGGGACATTAATTTGTCGCTTCACTAATATTATAAATGCGAATGTTTGAATGGATGTTTGTTTGAAGGTATCTTCGAAACGGCTTAATGGATCATGATGAAATTTTATACAGATGTAGAACGTGTTCTGGAGGAACACATACGCTACTTATTAAGTTATTTTTAAATTTCACGCTGACGGAGTCGCGGACGACAGTTAGTACAGTATAAATCTAGGATATATAAACAAACAAAACTGTAACATAATTAGTAGGTTTAATACACCATATAAACTTTATTTCTCGTTTATCTTTACCCAGTGAGAACGAAAAGGCTCGTCGTTGGGTAGAGATCAAAGAGCGACAGCAGATCTTAATGAAAGAGGCGACGGAGGCACAGATGCCAGCACACATCGACCAGATCATGAGGAGTGGCTTCACTATGAATGATATTAAAGGTAATTTTAACACTTTCAATGATACATGGGTCTAATGTGTCCCCTAATCATCACATGCAGAAGAAAACCCTATACCCTTAATGAACTTGAAGTCCAAAGTGTAATTGATAAGTTCTTTTTAATATAATTAAATCACGACAATCAAAAAATATCAGTCAAACTTCAGGAATTTTATTACTAGGGTAAACAAGACAGTAATAGGATATCTGGAATTTACTCTACAATGTAAATAAATTTAATCTATTGTACATAATGTTATTTGCTAAAGTTATTTGTTAAATGTTTTTATTTTTATTTGCATTTTATCCCTCATAACAAATACCATTACCAAATTATTTACCCATGCTTTTTTGACACCTTTTTTTTGTTACCCCCTTCCTTAAGGTCTGCACTACGATGAGAATCAAGAAGAAATGCCAACAAGTTCTAAAGTGAAGAGACAACCATCAAGACCTCCTAGGAAAGGATCAATCACTCGAGGCGTTACTATACAGAATTATAATTTGCAACCAGGTTTATGACCAAATTTGCTGTCAACTTCATAAAAAAAAATCTCCTTCTCTCTGTCTTTCAACTATCTTACTTAGAAAGAATTATCTTTCTCTCTCTCTACTCCTGATATTATAAGTAACAATCTAGTTTACCATAAACCTAATTGTTTTTTTAATGTTCAACTAACCATTATTAATTTCTTATAATTTAACTATAAGAGAATATGTTGTTACTAACAAATCCTTAAATACTATAGCAATTTAAATTCTGAATAAAATAAATAATTGTATAATTTCATCACATAAATAAATTTATAACTCAAATATCAATAACTGGGTATTTTACCTTAGTAATGAACACTTGCAATGCTTACAGGACAAGCCAACGGCATGCACCGGTCTACAAGTGAAGCTGAGATGGCCAAATACGAACTCGGAGTTAACAATGTTCAAGATGACAAGAAAGATAAGAGAGGACGCTCACCATTCAAGTATGAAATAATTTTAATTACCAAAAAAAAATTATAAACTAAATCGATTGAAAGATTACATCCAAAATAATATCTTTCGCAGATTAAAAAAAACTTAATAAGTAGCCTATGTACTCTTGCAGTCGATTTTCTATATGTATTCCAAAATTTATCAAAACCCTTTGAGCCATTATGGAGATATCTTCAAACAAATATCCATCCATCCATCCAAACATTCACATTTATAACATACTAGCTATGTCATCTTCCAGACTATGTTCTAAATGTATGCCAAATTTCACCAAGATCTATGCAGCCGTCCTGGAGATACCTTCAAACAAACATCCATCCATCAAAATTTTTATATTATTAGTATCGGATAATAAATAGTTGATTTTTACAATAGGTTCTTTAGAAGCAAACGCGGTGAGAGTGGGGAAAGAGCCAAGTCTCGCAAGTCCAAAACACCAGATCCTTTCAGCGATACTGAAGTATCTCCAGACAGGGGCAGAAGACCTAATCCACAAATTAGAATATCCCAGGTAAATTGATTTAATTCACAATTTGTTTGTTTACCCTTAGATTGTTACCAATTTTTATCCTCTTTTAGAATCCATTTTGTTGATAATTTCCGGTATTTCATTTTATCAAATCAAAGTTTTTCCCAGCTTGTTTAAATTAAGTTTCATTAATAGTCATAAAGGTATCTAATTTTTGTCATATATTTTATTTACTTAGTTTTCCCAGTATTTGCCTTATTGATAACACATTTACTGCCACTAGGATTTTCTGGTACAAAATTGAAATTATCAAAGGATGTTAGTGGCGTTCAATGTGTTAAATTATTGATTTACTTTAGTAGTAATCAAATCATTGTACCTTTACCCTTTTGATTTTACCCTTTGTATGTTTTCTCCCTTAAGGCCAACCAAAGATATAACGGCATGCAAGGTAGACCTAGCCGACCCAATTTATATGGAAGTCAAGGTGGTTTGAATGTAAGTTATGGTGTTTAAAATTGTACTAACACCTTTAAAAAGTTACTTGTGACTATATTATTTGTAACCTTTACATTTATATTATCGTAAATTAGTATTTTTAATGATATTTAGTATTGTTTAAGTCACCCCTAACTTAGGGGAGGCTTCGAGCCCCTCGGTGTGGATGTATAGTGAGCTGATGTCTGAGCCCCTCGGTTTGGATATGTAGTGAGCTGATGTCTGAGCCCCTCGGTGTGGATATGTAGTGAGCTGATGTCTGAGCCCCTCGGTGTGGATATGTAGTGAGCTG